GTTTCGAGCGAAATCCCTTCGAAACGTCGACGTTCTCCTTCTTAAGGTGTATGATCTTCAACTATTCCAGTCTAACCATGCAATTTTGAGAAATCTGCATGTCCTAAATTTCACTGTACTATTTCTCTGGTAGGCGAAGGCTCATCTTCCCACAGAACGAATCTCGAAAGGTCAACAGGAACTTCGCAACTTATAGGCTATATATGCATACTATATAATCTCTAGAATGACCGAAACATCGCCAAACAGTTTATTCTATACTGGATACTGGGTTAGTAGCATATAGTGATGACATTCAACTATCGCTTATACACTGGAAAATGGCAAATCTTCACAGTTTTCATGTCAAAAAGTATCGGTATCAATGCTAGATAACCAAATCACTGATGAGCAATATATGGCAACATACCTTGTGCTTTTTCGACTGCGACGTACAAACTGGCGTTCGTTGTCTCGAGTTTTCGTTTGTGGGGAACGGACCACTTCTTGTCAAGACGTTCATCTTTAAACAAAAACGTGTTGTGTTCTTCAACTTTGTGCAGTCTTTATATGGCGTCCAGTTGATGTCTTCAAGTATCGATGCTTTGTTGAAACAGTCATAAGGTATATAACGTATTGTTTCGGCTGAATATGTTCACACATCAGTGACCGCATAGAATTAGCCTACTTTCACGCCCTGTTATTTTCTGTTATGTATTATTGTCAATACGACTTTTTTCAACTAATTTCGCGGCTAACGTGAAAACTGTTATCAGTCATAGTGTGAAACACTCTTGAGTTTTGTGAAGTCGCAAGAATTCATTGAATCTGAAACTCAGGAAAGGCTTGGCTTGACTGTGTTTGGATAGCAACTCGCTCCATTGCACATGCACAGATCAGCATGTTGCCTATTGCGTTTATGGTCGGCATTTCCGTGCTATTAATTTAAAAAAAACGTGCCTGAAATAATTGTAAAAAATTCAAATGCATGCAGCAGTCAAATGTCTAATAATAACACTGTAAGTCACATTGAAGGATTCTAACGTTATTGCGACACGTATTAGCGCCACTATGTGGAATCTATCGTATTGCATATACTCGTACTCGATAATATTCGTACTCAATGAAGCACAGTTGAAAATTGATTGTGGTAATTGACCATATACAACCTGTTGTCTTACCTAGCTGTTTGCGGTTTTGCAAAATTGTTGTAAGCTAACAGCTTGTCAACGATTGACTAGATTTCTGGCTTATATAATCTATTTTAGCATTTAAAGTCCGAAAATTACTTCTATTTATACTCTCAGCCTGTGGGTTCCATGCATGCAGTAAGCATTACAACCATATACAAATATTGGAACAAGAAGATTTGTCTTGAGGAAAACAGACCTCTCAATTTCATTCAGTTTGCCAAGACATTTTAGCGAAATGCATGACATTTCCTGCAGAGTACCGAGTAACAAAATATATTAATCTGTCAAATAATTTGCAGAATTTAGCAATTTCTTTAACCATTAGATTACATTGCGCCCTATAATGCGCCCTACTTTGTAATTTTACCCTGTCTAACCCCAGACGATTTTATTCGTCAACGAGAGAGCGCTGGAGCACATGCATGTTGATCAGCACAACGTCAAATATACAGCTAATTCAAAAAAAGGTCCTTTGAAGAACGTTAAACTCTAATCCTTAAACTCTAAGCTTGCAAAGCATAATGAGAGCATCATTTAATCAGTTTAGAAATCATATATGGGGTCCATTTTTTGACGTGGAGCCGGTTGTATAAAAAAGTGATTAAAGTTAACTATGATCAAGTGCAAACGTTATCCAATAAGAAGCGCCTATTTGAGAGTTAATCACTATTTAACTACAAAATAGTGATTAAAAAAGTGATTAAGAGTTTTATACAACCGGCCCATGGTAAATATCTCCTTACGGGAACAATTCATTCAGAAAAGCCGCAATATTCAACTATACTAAGCTTGAAACTTGTGCTCCCATTAAGCTTTGCGCGCTTAGAGTTTAAGAGTTTAAGGTTTTTCAAAGATCAGTCTTTTTTGAATTGGCTGTATACATTATTAGTCAATATGCTGATGTATTTTAATGAAGAAATATTTTCTATAGCCTATCAGCCAGGTTATCCATGGACTGTCAAGATTTTGTAATTCAGTGATGTTCGTGCTTCTTTGATTTTGAGCGCACAAATATGGCAACTGGGCGGTGAAAAACGGCAGTAAAACACACACAGAGCAAGTTGAATGAAGAGTGCATCGTCGAAACTGCCGTTGAGACCTGCCCTCAACGGGAGTTCATCATTGTGCATACCACTATATAATGTAAATTGTCTGCATGTAGAGCTTCGCTTTTGAAACCCTTTTTGGCTTTTTCTAACACACTCGTATAATTGTTAAAATGCTATGGCTTTTAAATGGTTAACCACAACTATAGCAGGAATTACGTGAATCTGTTGAACTCTGTTGGAAACAGATTTGCATTGATATGTTCTTTACGCTTGGTCAATGCTCAGCAATTAATAATGATCAGTGGGCGTCGTACGTACATAATTGTCATAGCTAGTTGGGTTCAAATTAGCCGAGCCTTATGTTAAATGATTTGTTGAATAATATCGCTTGTGCTGTCCTGAGCCTTGTTTTGTGGTGCGATGAGTGTTCCAACTATGTTTTCACTTCAATAAAATACACGATAGTGTTGGGAAATCGTTAAGAACAATGAACCAATGTTGCGTGATTGCCAACTCTCATGCTCAGTTCATCCTTGTTTGTGATCCCGACTTTAGACCAAGCCAGGCCAAGTGGCATTAACGTGAACAGGCTTTAGTCTAGAGAAAAAGATTCATATGATTTAGAAGCTAGAAAGGATTGTCTTGGAATTTATGCTTTACTGATTTCCGTGCATATTGACATGGACAACTTAACAAACTAATTGAAAGTGGGCGTATTTTGAACCTAGCAACATGGTATAATAGAGTTATGGAGCGTAACGCTTATTGCAACGCCAACCTTCCCTCCTGTTGTCTCTTCGATAACCATGTTGCGTGCATGTATTGGCGCCGTCAAAGGGCGGGGCGGGTGGAAAATTGTCAGAAGACAGTGTTCAGTGTTTAATGTAATTTTAGATTCGTTCAAATTCGATGAAAATTTGGGGAGGGGCGGAAAATTGTCAGAAGACAGTGTTCAGTGTTGTGTATCTTGCCCGCATCTACTCATAGAATCTACTGAACTTTGTTCTAATATATAAAGCTCTATATGTGACTATGTCTCCCACTGAATTAAATTGTCAACTTTCTGAAATCAATATCTGACACTGTAATTGTAAAAGGTATTAAGACCTTATTAAAACCTGATATCAACAAGGTTGTTACAATTGTTAACAAGTTTTTCCATACTTGTTGACAACTTGGAACCAGCAGTGCGAACATAACTTGTTGGCGGACTTGCTACAAGATGTGAGACTTTTGTGTGTGTAGTTGTATCCCTATCAATCCGCAGCTTTCTGTAATTGTACATACATGCGTCCAGCATGAAGTTATAACTACCGATATGTTCCATGTGATTCGTTCTCTAAATTCTAAAAATACAGGTAAATACTATTTTTACATTTTTGAGGGATTGGAAACCTTCGCTGTGGTCAGATGCCTCGATGGTATGCTTTTTGTCTCAGTTCCTCGTCGCGCTCTGTTGACCGTGCGTAAGAAGGGCTCTGGGTACGAGAATGTGTTAGTCTCGTAACAAATGATTGAAAATCGAAAAAATTTATCATTCATATGACAATTCTTAATCCAAGAGCAAATGAGCTTTTGGATAAAGTACTTATAATAAAGGAAAATTGTTCAACTTCCACAATATTCGAGGGACAAAACGAGACTCAACCTCGTACTGCCATACAAAACTCATCTGAAAGAGGACAATCTTTTGTGATGGGCAGCCTATAGACCTAGGTATATTTTGGCCTAGCATTTGGTAAGAATGTCACATGCAAAACGAGAGCAAGGTGACTTTCAATCTCGTTCCCCTAGCCTGCGATCCTCGGGAAGGAACGCGAGCCTCTGGGATAATACGTTGCCGGAAGCCAGGAATTCTGGTTAAGATTGAACCACAGAATAAAGATCAGTAACAGAAGGGCCACTCAACGGTGCAACGTGTCCTCGTTTTTTTATGCAAAAATATGCAGTTTACTGGCCAGAAGGCGGAGCAGCCAGCCAGTACAGCGTGTTTATTGGCCAGAAAATGTCATTGACTGGCTAGGAAAATGGCGGCCAACATGTGTAATGCGACATGCGCGAGGACAGAAACTTCAAAGCTTCGGACGTAAGTGGCCCTTCTATATGGATCTTTATTCTATGGATTGAACTACGCATTCCATTGCAACGGCCAATCAAATTCCTCCCTGAAACGGATTATCCCAGAGCCTCACGTTCCTTTCCGAGGATCGCAGGCTCGGGGAACGAGATTGGGTCACTTTCACCCTCCCTTCACCCCGCCCCCAATCGCCTGGGTCCCAGTCTTCTCATGTGAAAAAGTACTGAAATCAAAAGTAGAAGACCCACAGTAGGACTTGGTTATCGACTCGTGTCTCTACACGTCCTTGGTTATAGCTTCACATCTCGCTGCTGTTTATGAGTTTCGGAAATAGATTCATGTCTCACTTTTTATGTCAACTGTTTGGGGGGGAGGGGAGACCACTTCTATAATAGCAAAATGTACTAGAATTCCTAAATGGCGAGGGGGGGGGGGGGGGGGATTAACATCCAATTGCCTCCGTGGGCAAGTGCGGATGTTTTTTGGAATGACCCATTCTCGTACCAAGGGCTTCTTTGCATAAGCCTTGACTGGGGCAAATTAGAGAACACTTCTTAAAAAATTCAAAGAAAAACCCCACTGGAATTGGCATATACAGATTGGCAGGTTTATAGGTGAAAATAAACCTGGATGTCATATGATTGAAAAAGTATTATATATTATTTAAATACTATTATTGTACTAATATTAGACAATACTCCAGTTAAAAAGCATTAGCATATACTGTACTTTAATTAAAATGTTTACAATAAATATTTATTAACCATACAACAATACTGAATCTATGGCTACAAAAATTTTCTAGCTTGAGTTGAAAATGAAGTTATTTGTAGTACAGTACATCAAACTTGCAAAGTTCCTCTTCAAGGCTTTATTCACAAGTCATCATAAGCTTCATAATCATCTGCTATAAATATGTGCAATTATTTGTCTTTCGATGATTCAACCATTACGGATTCTTTTTGGATTTCTCCTTTTATATCTTGATGTATTTCTCCATTTTTCACCGGTACTGAACCATTCTATATAGAATAACAAGTAAACTATTAGATATTATTAAATAAACTACTGTCTGTATATAGGAATCAACTTTCCATAGCCAAGTCATATAAATGATTCAGCAATCTGGATATCTGGCAAAATATAGACATCTGGTAAAAATTTGCCAGATATTTACCAGATAGTAGTGGAACTTTTATTGTAAGCACAAAACCGTCTGTTTTGCGTTAAGATATTGTGAAACACTAACTAGTACTAGTCTACCACACATGTGACACATTAAAACAAAATTACATTATTTGTGATGCATGTATATTCTCTGACGACCCTTGTGCCACATACTAAACATACAATGGACTATTTATTTTTATGACAAAAAGCCAGTGACATATTGTCCAAGTACCACCATTGGTATCCGGTTATTATCCAGTAGACTGACTGCTATCCGGTAAAGCGGTATGTCCAGCATGTCCCTATTATTTTATGCATTGTTTGCTTAAATTGGCCTAGCTGTTACTGATATATCACATATACTCATGTTTTGGTAAATGAGTGGAAAAGTGTCTTGGGTCACAGAGCAGCACTATTTTTCAAGCACCTTTGCTTTTGTCAGAGTACGGCCTAGCCACATTAGTGAAGATCATAAAATTTTACAAAATGCAAACATTGTAAAATTTTATATGAGGTCAGCTACAACTGTATCTGTTCCAGTGAGCTCGATATGTATCTGGAGCTCCTTCAACTTCTGCCATCTTGGCAAAGAGTGTGCCAAAATTTTGTATTTTGACATTGATTTAAAGAATGATACTATGGTTTTATGAACTACAGTAATAACTTGGTTAGTGATACACTGATACGGTCAGTTAGGAAAAGCTGGATTTAGCTGCGGAAAAATGGTATAAAAACTGTTTATGACCTTAATTTGGAGCTATGAAGTCAATGGCTGCCATCTTGGCTTGCACAATCGGTCAATCCCTATCTGTGCCATTGCAGGTAAAAAAATACAAACTTGCAGAACTTTGACATTTTGAGAAAAGGACCTTTGTTGGGAAGTTAGTAGTGAAGTCGGATGGGAAAATGACATGAGCTTTTATACTACTGGTAGTGACTATAAAAGCAATCATGGGACAAAAATAAACCAATTGGTATAAATTAACATAACATAAAATGCAAATAACATTACATAATCAATTAATGCAAATATGGGGAAAACTACAATGAATACAAATATATGAAACAATTAAGTAATGTATTTGTTGTAGTTTTCCATATGGTTGTATTAATGTACTCTGTAATGTATTTACATTTTTTGTTTATAGTTTGTTTTGACTAAATCCATCTGATTATTGGTTTATTTTTTGCCACGTGATCTCTTTTAATTTGCTATTATCAAACTCATATAATTTTCCAGACCCCTGTCACAGAATACGGTACACAGAAGGAAGCGTAACCGCTGCCATGCCATTGTTCATCATCAAAATGCTGACCTATGGTCTTAGCCAACTGTCCACTTATGATAGGCATTCCCCCCCTGGACATCTGCCATTTTGAACATTATCAGGGGGTGAATGCTTTCAAACACGCACTGGCTGGGACGGTTACGCCAAAATCATATACAGACATACATATAGGAAAAATGAATAAGTCAGGCTTCTGTATAGTCTCTATTCTGTGCCCCCACCACTAACATCCCAACAAATTTCTGGAAAAATTGAAGTTCTTCTTGTGTTTTTGAGGTAGTCGCATCTCTCCCAATATGCAGCTGTCTTAGCTATATTCCAAATATAAATTTGTCAAGAATGACATGAAGATATTAAATAAATACTTTAAAATACCCTATATTCTATCAGATCGGAATCAATAAAATATTTTCAATGTGTTCATGTGATAATTTTGTAAAACACAGCGAAAATTCAGTGGTCAAAATTCAGTTTGTAGTGCCAAAATATTTAAAAAAACAAAAATTCTATACCTTGCTATCGGATTCATTGGGGGCAGCCTTGTCTGAGATGGGTTTCTTGCCGTACCACATATCGACTATGGGCTGTATAAACTTGTGCCAAATAAACAGCGCTATTGGCACAAGGATACACGTTATTCAGACCATAGTTCTGACTTAAAAATATCTAGAATAAACCACTTTATTTGGCAGAAAAATCCCACAAAATCTTCGGTGTTTTCAGTGCCAGAATGATGAAGAATGATGTATGAATATATAATTTCTCTGCGTGTGACTGCAAATCTGCAATAATACGCACTTTGTGATTGGTTGTAGTAAAACAGCTATGACCAATCAAAAAGCTTGTAAGATCAAATAAAACTTGGTCTTTTTCCAAAAGGCGGTAAACGTTCGCCGATTTCGAAATTTTTGACGACTTCAAATTTCAAAACAAAATGGAGGATATTTTGGTATGCAAATTTGATATTTTGAACTACTTTCTCGGCATTTGGGGGTTTTGGGGCTTGAGTATTTGACTTATTCAACAATACAATATTATTTTGACTTTGCTCATTCTCTGTGTTGTGTATTTTGTAGAAAAACTTAAAAGAAAGGACAGAAGACAAAGCAAAATTGCAAAACATTTTTCATCTTTTAAAAGTGTATGTGAATAATATCGTTCAAAATCCAACCAATGTGAAGTACAGGAAGATACGAAAAAGTGAGATAATGTAAAAAGCTAGCTAGAGTTACATGTAAAATCATGTAAAAT